GGGGGGAATTCCGCGGGGCTATACCGGATAGGGCCACCCATACCGGGCAGGCCCGCGGAACGATGAGGGGCGCGGCAGGGCAGGTCAACTCGGCCACCCTGTCGGGCAAGACGTCGAGGAGGTGTGGCAGCACGGTAACTTGCAGAGGACTTCGGTCGGTGTATGGCGGCCTTCATGGCTCGCGGCGCGGCAGGGTCGGTCAACCCGGCCACCCTGTCGGGCAAAAGGTCGAGGGCGTGCAGCAGCACGATAAACTGCTGAGGACTTCGGTCGTAGGACGGCAACCTTCAAGGTTGCGCACATTGGTCGGGGACCTCACCCTGCTTCGAAAAGGCGGTTTCCGGTGTCCGACAACACCGGACCAACAGCATGATGGCAAGTTTAAAGACGAATTTACCCCAGGAGGGTACCACCAGCTCCGCTGGTGGAGAATCCCTCCCCGAGGCCACTTTGGCCTCGGGCTGCCCCTCGTACTCTGGGGGGGGCAAAAACTGCTTTGACTGCACGACGACTCTGGCTTTGAATACGGTTACAGATGCACGCGATGTGGAAGCGACGGGGAGCGGTATAGACGAGGAAATGGAGCTGGACACGGAGCTGATGCTGAGCGAGGACTCAACATCCATGTCCGAAACCAGCCGCCGGGCTAGTCCGATGCCCAGGAAGAGAAGAGGACGTCCGCCTACCACGGGCCACTATGTCGGCCTGGCCAAGGCCAAGCTGGCACTCATCGAGGCCGAACGTGAAGAGGAGCGGAGGCGGGCAGAGGCAGAAGTAGTTGCTGCCTCACGCGCGGTCCGGGCCAGAACACAAGCCCACAGGCTATCGGAGACGGTCTCGGAAGACGAGGAGTTCCAGGCGGCCGGCTCCCTCAGTCGGATCATAAATGACAACGTGGAGGTCATCAAAAAGGTAGCCGTCACCTCCAAAAATCTTAAGGGAGGATACGTGCGAGCCTTAAAGGACGCAGCGGAGGAGATCTCAAAAATGACCAAAGCTCTGCAAAGCAGATGCATCTCGGACGAGACCAAAGGCCTGCAGGCCGACAATGCTCGCCTGCGAGCGGAGGTAGCACAGTTGCGCAAGGAGGTGGCGGATATGAGAGAGCACCTCCTTGCACCTAACGGGAGGACAGAGGCTGCCGATGCGGCTAAGCATCCTGAACCGCAGCGGCAACAACAGAATAACAACGAGGAGCTAGTGCGCACCATCTTGTGTCAGGTGGGCACGATGATTAACGCCAGATTTGAGGCGTTACAAGACCGACTTCTCCCTGAGAAGCGCCTCCGTCCCCCATTGGCTGCGGACAACAGATCTGAGCCTGGGAGCCACAGCGCACCAGGGGACCCGAACGTGACAAGACTGGCAAAGAGCGGGCAAACCCCGGGTAAAGCCTCAGGCAAAACTTCGAGGAAAGCCTCGAAGAAAGCCCCGGGCAAACCCGCCAAGGAGAGGACGGCGGAGACGCAGGCTCAACCCCAACCAACGGTGGATGCAGAGCCTGTGGAAGACCAAGACCAGCCCAGGGAACTACCATGGAGTACGGTGGTCAGAAAAGGGCTGAAGCAGAAAAAGAAGGAGCGGCCACGGGTATTTACAAATACTGATAAAGGAAGAGGAGCACCAAGAGCGCCAATAACTGGCCCTCCTAAAACTGCTGCGGTAGTAGTCACCATTACGCCGGAGGCCATAGCAAATGGCCTCACGTACGATGCAGTAATAGCCGAGGCCAAGGCCAAGATAAAACTGCAAGATGTGGGCATTGTAACGGGGGTGCGTTTCCGGGTGTGTGCCACAGGAGCAAGGAGATTCGAAGTTCTGGGCACGGAAAACGGCACACAAGCTGACGCCCTAGCGGAAAGGCTGACGCAAATATTCAGCGAAGACTCAGTGCGCATCTCCAGACCGTCTAAGACGACGGAGATAAAGATTTCCGGACTAGACGACTCGACAACCGTCGAAGAAGTGTTGGCGGCGGTTGCCGAGGCAGGAGGCTGTGCGAGAGAAAGTCTCAAGTGTAGCGGTGTCGTCAGAGACAGATTCGGAGTGGGACATGCATGGGTTGAATGTGCAGTACCAACGGCGAAGCGGGTGGCGGCAGTAGGTCGGCTGACAATAGCGTGGGTCTCAGCCAATGTCATGCTGCTCGACCCTCGCCCACTGCGCTGCTATCGATGCCTGCAGAAGGGGCACGTTAGAGCGCAGTGCACCGCGGAGGCTGACAGGAGCAAGCAGTGCTTCCGTTGTGGTGCAGAGGGCCACAACTTCAAGGGATGTACAGCCAAACCGCACTGTTCAATCTGCGCTGCGGCCAAAATACCAGCGGACCACAAATTGGGAGGCAGAGGCTGTACTGCACCAGCCCCCAAAATCACCAGAGGAAGGAAAACTCAGCCACAACCAGCACAACAGGCTCCAGAAGAAGTCGCGATGGAGACGGAGGAAGTCGGCTTTAGAAATGGCTCTGCACCTTCTACAAGCCAACGTTAACCACTGCGCTCGGGCACAAGACCTGCTCTTACAGAGCATGGCTGAGTGGTCGACGCAGGTGGCTGTGGTGTCTGAACCATACTTTGTTCCCAATAGGGATGACTGGTTAGGAGATGAAGACAACCTTGTAGCGCTCATCGTGCCCCGGTCCTCGAGATCTCCGTCTATTGACGGGGTTCAGAAGGGCTGTGGGTATGTGGGTGCTACAGTAGGAGGAACCATGGTCGTCGGTGTATACTGCGCCCCCAGCAAAAGCCTCGCAGAGTTCGAGGGTCTTCTTGATCGCATCGGAACCCTCGTTGGCAGAAATCTCCCCCATTCCGTGCTGGTAATGGGGGATTTCAATGCCAAGAACTCTGCGTGGGGTGGCTCAGTCACGAATGCTCGGGGTGCAGTATTAGAGGAGTGGGCCGTGACCATGGGACTTTGCCTTCTGAATAGGGGGTCAAGACCCACGTGCGTTCGGCCGCAGGGCAGTTCGATCGTGGACATATCATTCGCCTGCCCTGCGACTGCGAGACGGGTGTACGGTTGGGAGGTAGTGGAAGGTGTAGAAACACTATCCGACCACCGTTACATCCGTTTCACACTATCGGAGACATCAACGGTCCCAGTACATCAGGGACCGGAGCCGCTCCACCGGGACACCCCACGGTGGGTAGTGAAGCGGCTCAATAAGGACTTTCTTTCTGAAGCTGCCCAGGTTGAAACCTGGTCGCCTGCGGACAGCTCACTGGACATCGACGAGAGGGCTGCCGCGCTGCGCGCGTCGATGACTCGCGTCTGCGATGCATCGATGCCGCGGCAAGGCCCCCCACCACGGAAAAGGCAAGTGTACTGGTGGTCTGCAGACATAGCAGCATTGCGCACTGCGTGCGTAGCTGCCAGACGCCAGTACCAAAGACAACGCCGAAAAAGACAAAGGGACGTAACCACCGAGACGAGACTACGCAACATCTACAAAGACGCAAAACAAGATCTATGCCGAGCAATTTGTGAAGCCAAAGATAGGGCGCGGGAAGAGATGATTGAAACCCTAAATCAAGATCCGTGGGGTCGCCCCTATCTTTTGGTTAGAGGGAAGCTCCGGGCGCGAACATCACCGTTGACGCAGAGTCTCCGGCCCCAACTGGTACAGGGAGTGGTGGAGTCTCTCTTTCCCAGCGGAGTGGCACACACGCCGCCATACAGGATTCCAAACACCGGGAATGAAAATCCTGGCTCCGCTGACGAAGAGGACGTTCCACCTGTCACCCCTGGCGAGTTCGGGGCCGGGATCCACCGACTACGTGCCAAAAGGACGGCTCCGGGGCCTGACGGCATTCCGGGCCGTGCTTGGGTACTGGCCGCGGAAATCTATGAGGATAGGGTTGTGCAGCTGATGGGGGATTGTCTCGCACAAGGACGCTTCCCCAAGCTGTGGAAGAATGGGACCCTGGTCCTCCTTAAAAAAGAGGGCAGGCCAGTCGACTCCCCTGCAGCGTACCGGCCTATAATCCTTCTCGACGAGGTGGCGAAGATTTTCGAAAGGATTATTGCCAACCGCCTAGCCAGACACATGGCGACGGTCGGCCCGGACCTGGATGCCAAGCAATTTGGCTTCAGGCCGGGCAGGTCCACCGTCCATGCGGTCATGAGGGTGAAGAAGATAGCGGAGGAGGCTGTGGCCCAGGGCGACGTCGTTCTTGCGGTGTCCCTGGACATCGCAAACGCGTTTAACACCCTGCCCTGGAGCTGTATCATCGAAGCCCTCCGCTATCACAAAGTGCCTAAATACCTGCGACGAATAGTGGCCGATTATCTTTCGGCCAGATCCATCTCATATAGAAGCCGGGACGAGTGGTGTCTACACGAGGTCACCTGTGGCGTTCCGCAGGGCTCAGTCCTCGGCCCCCTTCTATGGAACGTGGGCTACGACTGGGTGCTGCGGGGCGCCAACATCCAAGGTGTGGACGTCACTTGTTATGCTGATGACACCCTAGTTACGGCACGAGGAAGCACGCACCGGGAGTGTGCGATCCTAGCTACGGCTGGAGTAGCCCAAGTGGTGGGTAGAATACGAGCCCTGGGTCTTGAGGTGGCCCTGCATAAATCCGAGGCCCTTTATTTTCATGGTCCTCGGAACAGGCCACCTGCAGGAGCCCATATCATCGTTGGCGGAGTGAGGATTAACATCGACTCACAGATGAAATATCTGGGCCTCACATTAGATGGGAGGTGGACGTTTGAGGCCCACTTTCGGAAGTTGAGCCCCAAACTGCTGCGGACAGCCGCCGCACTCGGCAGCTTACTGCCGAACGTTGGCGGCCCCAAAGCGGCTTGTAGGCGCTTGTTCATGGGCGTCGTTAAATCGATGGCGCTTTACGGCGCACCCGTATGGAGCGGCGCCCTGAACAAGCGCACAATCGAAGTACTACACAGGCCACAAAGAACTTTGGCCATAAGGGTGATACGAGGATACCGCACAGTATCATATGATGCAGCCTGCACCCTGGCGGGTTCCCTGCCATGGGTGCTGGAGGCAGAGATACTTGCGGCGGTCCACAAATGGAGAGAGCAAAAATCTTTTTCAGATGGAGCTCCACCCTCAAGGGTGGAGGTCGAAGCCCTAAGGAAGGAGAGAAGAGAAGCAGCGGTGGCGAGCTGGCAACGCCGCCTCCGCCAGACGCAGGCTGGTGCCAGGGTAATCGGGGCAATCTGTCCAGTTCTCGTGGCATGGATGAGGAGGAAGCACGGGACGGTGACCTTCCGTTTGGCGCAGGTGCTGTCGGGACATGGATGTTTCGGCAGTTATCTGCGCCGGATTGGGAGGGAGCCGTCCGCAGTGTGCCACCACTGCGACGATTGCCCCGAAGACACTGCCCAGCACACGCTGGCGGAGTGCTCGGCGTGGACATCGCAGCGAAGAGACCTTGTGGCCGCAGTGGGCGAAGATCTTTCCCTGCCGGCCACAATAACATCAATGGTCGAATCGGACGGAGCATGGAAGGCCGTCCAACTGTTTTGTGAGGCCGTATTGACCATCAAGGAGGAAGCGGAGAGGGCAAGGGAGGCGACTAGCCAAGACGCCATTCGCAGCCGCCGCACCGGGGGGAGAAGACGGGCGTACGCCCGGACGATCCCACCGTGACAGGACTCGAGTGGTGGGCAGGGGGAAGCCCGCCACTCAGAAGAGAGTTGAAGAGGACGCGTTCGTTTCCCGCGCAAACAGATGAGGCTTAAGCTGTAGAGGAGCCGATAAGGCAATCACGACCGGGGCGTGTGAAGAATACTTTTAAGTGTACCCACGCTCCCGGTGGAAAGTGAAAAGAGGGGAACAGTGGTGGTTTAGTGGGTATGCTCACATTCGGTGAGAGAATCCCACATAACTACCGTGCCTTTCCCCGAGGCA